AAAACAAGTAGAAATGATTTTTAATAATAATAATGGATAATTTGTTATCAGCTTGTGACTTCAGAATCTTTTTCTTGACATGTGTGATAATGCGATTATCGTAGTTATGCGGATTCATTTAGCCGGACTTGCTAAAAATAGATTCGAGTTTCATGAGTGTTGCATAACTTTTAAAAATATTTTCTGGTGCTTAGAAATCAAATCTGGTATTCCAGTAGTTACAAAGTGCCTGTCACTGTCGACATTCATTGAGAGAATATAACATAACTTGTATTACATATACTGTATTTGGATTTTCTTATCAGTCTTTGAATCATGTATAATTGATTCACTATGGACACCACAGATCCAGTCCAATCAAATTGTTGTTTCCATGTGTGAAGTGACCAGCGTTGATCCTTTGAAATATGCGCTCTCTATCTACTAAGTAAGTCAGTTTAGTTAGCGCAGTCATGTTGTAGTCATGGCATCTTCGTTGTGCTGCCAATATTCAAGTCTTGTCGGTGGCCCGTGCGGTGGTAGTACCTCCAACCCATCTTCAGTGCTAATAACGACTGTCGGAGAATGCCTCAAGGATGTTAAAGGTCATTTGCGCTCATTAAACTGTATAGACAAGAGTATAAAATCAGAACGTGATCTTTTGATTGCACGAGCAGGTGAGAAAAAAATTATCATAATATTACTTTGAAAATATAAATACAAATTTATATTTCTCATTCTTTAAAAGGGATATTTCAACTTAATGATAACACAACCTTTTTGATGTCAATATGCCCGAGACATCGTGATGCATACGGAATTCGCTGGAGAAGCTCGAAAAAGTTCTGCACGTGTCCTGAAAACTGGGCAAAGCATAAATCTGATGTCAAAGGCGATCGAGGAATAACAAGAGAGCAATCAAAGAAACTTTTCAATGAAACCAAAGTCATTCTACCTGTTGCCTCACGTAAGTGTTATGATTAATGTCTATGATGTTTACTAGACAGTTTACATATGATGCAACACAGTCTTATTCTATTGCCTTTTACAGCGATTTGCAAGAGCTGTCGATTACGACTCACTAAAGCAGATATGGCAAGTACTTCAAAAGAGGAGATAGAGACTTCTGATGAACAGGAGAAGCTAACTACAACTACATCTGATCTGCCTGATGAACAAGGAGAAGTAGGTGTTAAAAGCGTAATCATCGGATTATCTAGATAATTATCGATTGACCAACTGATACTGAATGCATGAGAGCGCAAACGAAACTATAAAATCGGGATCGTACAGTCATGTCATTAAAAAACATACATTATAATTTCAAAGAAACATAAATTGAGTTTTAGCATACGCTTATAGTTTCATATCAATAAATTACATTTGAAAATATGTTAATTCTATGAAAATATAGGCGGCGCTGCCGGACTAAAAAGTACGCGCGCTAGCATTGTATGTTTTTTTGTGGTGTTTTTTTTTTTTTTAATAATCATGGGTTCTCAGTTGGGTAGCCTGTGTATGAACTAACTGATCATTTATTCATCATATAGGAGCACTACACTATAACTAAGTTATCAGAGGCCATGGAAAAACTTSACATAACAAGAGAAGACTTATATTTTCCCGATATGGCTGAAAGTAGCAGCAGTTTAAGCGACGTACCCACGTCAAAAGAAAAGCCACTGGACGAGAATCCGGCTCACAGACGCCTGAGACTGAATGAGTTTCTTTGTTCTAGTGGTAAAGCACCTGTCAGGACTGCATCAAAGAAAGAGTGGAGCCAACTAAGTGTACGAACCAAAAGTAGTCGTGTTGGCCAAGCTAGAGATGCTGTAGTAGCTTCAATGGAGGTCATTTCTCCAGGTGATCCTGGCCTGCTTTGGGAAGCACTAAAGGCATCTAATATGGTGGAAAAAGATTTGGGGTTAGATCAACACTACTTTGATATAAAGTATCTGAATGCGTTAGCTGAAGCCTATGACCACGCCAGTAGCTGGCACACACGTAGACAAGTTCTATCGGTCATGGCAGACTTAGTTCCCTACCATGTATTACATCAATACATACCAGGTATGGCATAACATTTATAATTCTAGGGTTGATGAATGCTATAATTGTCTTTCTAACTGTTTCAAATCAGGCATAAATCTTGATTTAKCCAWCTAATAATCARGTTCTTCTCTCATGGTAGGTATTACTGACTACAGAATCAAAACTGCACGACAACACACCTTGCAGCATGGGCGTGGTGTTCCCTTACCATCATCTCGAAGCCCTAGAATGAGGGTAAACCCCCAACAGCTTGACGACTTTATGCAATTCATTACAAGTCCACACATAGTACAAGACCTTCCTTTTGGTCAGAAGACTCTACAACTGTCAAATGGTACAATCATCGAAACGCCTAATACGATCAGAAGTATGATATSAGAGCGAATAGCAGACCAATATATACAGTATTGTAAGGAGGCTGATTTCAAGCCATTTAGCAAATCCACAATGCTGCGAATTTTATCTGCATGTACCGCAACAGTAAGAAAATCTCTCCAAGGCTTAGATTACATAAGTGCGGAAGGTGGCAAAGCTTTCGATGATTTGGTTTCTGTACTAGAAAAAATTGGCGAGCATGGAGCTGACAAAGAGTGGATATCAACATGTAAAGACGCTCTAAAAGCTGGGAAACAGTACCTAAAAACTGACTATAAGGTATTCGATTAGAAATAATARCCGAGTTACTTAAAGCAACGTCTACGATTTTTCCATTCATTGACTTTGTGACTGATTTATCGATTAATCAATCGATTTASTCAGTTGTTGATTGATTGGTTGCTCAGATAATTGCTTAATTGCTTGATGGATTAATAAATTTATTGATTTATTGATCGATTTATTAATTTGTAAATTGATTGATTGTGTGTTTAGGTACATGTCACAAATGAATCAAGAATTGCAGATCAMTGTATTACCTACGCTTTGAGTACTCAGACAGAGAAGCAGCTCAGGAAAGCTTSCAGGCATCTACATGACCAACAGTGTTCTATGTGTGACCAATTAAAAAGCACCCTTCACCAAATAAAGTTATCTTTGGATCGTGTGAAGTCCAATCCAGACGAGTACGACAGTTTATGCTTTATATATGACCAGGCGTATAAATCTATCATGGCATGGAAGGCCCATCAGCTTCGATCGAGTCAGCAAGACAAGGCTCGTTTAGATGTATTGGAAAGGCTAGATAGCACCTCTGTGTTAATAACCGAAGATTGGGCAATGAAGTTTCTGCCAAGACGCTACAGAGAGTCCCAAACTAACTGGTTTGCGAAGMGTGGAATCTCTTGGCATATCAGCGTTGTAGTTAGAAAGGTGGAGGGTGTATTAGAGCAGCAAGCCATTGTTCACATCATCCAAAACTGCTCCCAAGAAAGTAATGACGTCGTCGGAATTCTCAACCACACCTTGAGCGCACTGAAAAAACAGCACCCAGAAATTAGAAGGGCATATGTACGCCAAGATAACGCGGGCTGTTACCACAGCGTCGAATTTCTCACCTCATGTCGTCTACTTGAGAAATCAACGGGGATAAAGGTCTGTAGAGTCGACTTTAGCGACCCACAGGGAGGAAAAGGTCCATGTGACAGAAAGGCGGCCTCTATCAAGTCTCACGTGGTACGATACGTTAATGAAGGGAACGACGTTACAACTGCCANATAAAAGGATTATAAGATATATGTATACATAAAATAAATATAAAAATTTCTGGGGAAAACAAATCAATAATATGCCTTCTTAAAAAGGTGAGTCTTAAGATTTTTCTTGAAGGTCTCTACATTTGTTGATAGTCTGATATCTAGTGGTAAAGCGTTCCATATTCTAGGTCCGGCTATGGTGAAAGCACGGTCACCTGATTTTGAGCTAGATCTTGGGATGGACAAGAGATTTTTATCATCAGATCTTAGGTTGTATCTCCTCGTTGGCTGCGCCTGAATTAGGTTTGTCAGGTAAACAGGGGACAAACCATTTAGAACTTTAAAAACCAGTAGAGCAATTTTAAACTCAATCCTTTCCTTTACTGGAAGCCAGTGTAGATTTATCAGAGATGGAGTAATATGGTCAAATTTAGGAATATAATACACAACTCGTGCAGCTGCATTGAGGACTTTTTGAAGACGTTCTAGTTGATAAGTAGGAATACCAAACAGTAATGAGTTGCAATAGTCCAGGTGTGATGTAACAAAGGCAYGGATTAAGATCTTAGTTGTATCTGTAGTAAGAAATTTTCTAATTTGTCTGATGTTGTAAAGTCCTCTAAAGGCTTTACTGCAGGTCTTGCTGACATGATCACTCATAGAYAAATKTTCATCAAACCACATGCCAAGATTTCTGATACTAGTTAAAGGTGTGATGTCGGCTGATCCCAATCTTAAAGAAGGTATATCCACTTTAGCACTGTTTTGTTGTCATTGAATTTCAGTTTGTGAAAAGTAAGCCAAGCGCGAACATCGGCAACAGCAGCACTCAAAAGCAGATAGTGCCCTATCAATATCCTCGGAAGATGACGGTCGGAAGGATATGTAAAGTTGAGTGTCATCCGCGTAGCCTTGCATGTCAGGTAGATGTTTTTCCATAAGTTTAAAAAGTCGTGAGGTATACAGCAGAAACAGGATTGGACCAATACAACTTCCTTGTGGGACTCCATATTTCATTTGGTAGTCTTTAGAGCCAGATTTACCAATAACCACTCGCTGTTGTCTTTCAGATAAAAAGGAACGGACCCACTGAAGAGCATCATCAGTAGCACCGAAATCAGATTCAAGTAAATTAAGTAGTAATTCATGATCGATAGTATCAAATGCAGCACTTAAGTCAAGTAATACGAGAAGAGTAACCTCTCGTCGATCCATGCTCAACAAGATGTCGTTATAGACCTTAAATAGACCGGTTTCGGTAGAGTGGAATTTCCGATAKGCAGATTGGTTGTTGGGTAATGGTGCATTCTCAGAGCAGTGCGATAATAGTTGTTGAAGTACAAGTTTTTCAGCACACTTTGAAATGAAGGATAGATTACTGACAGGTCGAAAGTTGTTGAGAACAGGATCAAGATCAGGTTTTTTTAAAAGTGGTTTGACAAGAGCGCACTTCCAATCAGGAGGAACAAGTCCACCACGGATGGAGAGATTTACCATTTCAGTTATTACTGGGAGAAGTTCATCAATGCATAACTTRAGCAACCATGTAGGAAATGGATCAAGTTTAGAAGAAGCACTAGAGGAGGTCATGATGACACCACGAACATCCCTTTCAGTAACAGTAGAGAATGAACGAAGTTGAATTTCAGGTGGATGACAATGAATTTGTGGAGGTGTTATATGAACGTTGTCAATTTCTTCTCTTAGCAGATCAATTTTGCGGCAAAAGAAATCACCGAAGTCATTGGCGAGTGTTTCACTGTCCTTATGAGGTGGTAACGGACATTCTTGCTTCCTATTACACAACGAGGAGACAACCTGAAATAGCTYACGGGAATCGYCAGARCATTGATTAATCTCTTCAGTGTAGTAAAGATGTTTAGAGTCGTGTGCATATTTCGCGATAGGCATCTTTGTCAGATTCCAGATGACTTCGCAATATTTTCTTMTCAAATCTCCTTCGCTTAGCTTTCAAGTCCTTCAATTCTTGATTAAACCACGGGACCTTAGGCCTCACAGTAACAGTTTTGTGCAGCAAGGGAGCATTCATGTCTAAAATATCTGTAAGTACTTTGTCATAGGTCTTAGCCAAGTTTAAAAGGTCAGATGGAGGATCATGATGTAACTCAGATTCAAGAATGTTGTTCTTGAAAGTCTCAACGTCGATTTTCTTGTACTGACGAAAGCTGATTTCTTTTATCGAAAGTTCAGGGCGAGGAAAGGCGATAGTAGTTTCAATGAAGGAGTGATCGGAGATAGAGAGCGTAGCTTGAGGAGTTTGTAGAAGCACATCATGACATGATCGGGTCACAATAAGATCTAAGATATGACCAGATATATGCGTAGGTGTAGTAACATGTTGAATAAGGCCAAAAGTTTCCAGTAAAGCCGAGAATTTACGAGCATCAGTGTCAGTATGAATGTCGAGATGAAAATTGAAATCACCGGAAATGAGTAGAACATCGGGGCACATGACAATATTTTCCAGGTAGGCAGAGAATTCCTCGAAGAAGACATTAGGAGTTACGGGATGGGCTTCAGAGTAAGGTGGTCGGTATATACCGATGATTTTTAATGGTCGACTCAAGTTCGTAATGTTCCATTCACTATATTCAAAAGATCGTGTCTCTCCAGAATCAAGATGGGAAGACTGAAGATTATCTCTGTGCAATAGTCCGATGCCACCTGCAATGCGCTGCGAAAGTCGAGGAGAATTATGAAATAAATATCCTGGTGGTGATAGTGAAGAAATACTAACAGAATCTTCATGTTTAAGCCATGTCTCAGTGAGGACACAAAGG